TTATTCAAATTTATGCCCCAACCACCAAAGCCACACATGAGGAAATTGAAGAATTTTATCAGCTTCTACAGTCTGAAATTGACCAAACAGGCAATCAGGATGTATTAATTATCACTGGTGACTGGAATGCAAAAGTTGGAAACCAAGAAGAATCACCAGTAGTTGGAAAAGCCAGAAATAAAAAGGACAAATATTATATGACTGCACTTATATGAAATATCTAGAATAAGCAAATGCATGGAGACAATTATTAGTGGTTACTAGAAGCTGGAGGGAGGAGAGAATGGGGAATTACTGTTCAGTGGGTACTGAGTTTCTGTTTAGGGTAATGAAAAATATTTAGAAATATGGTGATGACTGCATGACATGGTGAATTAATGTTGCTGAAATGTACATGTAAAAATGGCAGTGTCTAAAAAAATATATTTTACCACAATAAAATTCAAAACAAAACACTTGTTTTTAAGAAAGTACTATCTTTGTGTACACATAAATGTTACAAAAGATTTGTTTTACTGGTACTTAGTAGATCTGAATGACTATAGATTCTCCTGTTCTATTCTCTTTGTTTTAAAAAGTACCTTCAACAGGATTAGGATTACGATGCAAAGAAGATTTCTTCCGGGGATATGAATTAAAAATCTATAATTGTATTTAAAATTTCAAAGGCCCAATTAATAACTAAACCTGAGAAATGTGTATCTTATATAAATGCTATCTTTCTAAAATATATTATTATAAAATTACTTAGACTAATTTCAAAACCAAATAAATTGCATTTTACCTTGCAGTTGCCAAGATATACTCGTAACGTGGTGACCAGGAAACTGCCAGAATTTCTTGTCTGTGACCTACAAATACAACTATATGAAAATTCTTGCAAAATATTTGAAAAACATCAAAAGATAAAAGACCAAGATTGTGTCTGATTCTGAGGAAAGTGAAGACGAAATATTAAAAAATGAAGTAACTAATGTAACCATCATTGTTTTACATTTATAATAAACAAAATCAAACCATGCCTTCTGTTGCCAAGGTGATTCCAACTCATAGCGACTCTACAGGACAGAGTAGAACTGCCCCATTGGGTTTCCGACAATGATAATGCACAAATGGTACAAAAGAGTTCCATTCTTTATGCAATCAAGAGATTGTCACAATTTTCTCATGTGGAGTGCCTGGTGGGTTCAAACTGCACTACACACTTCTTAGCTAGCAGCCGAGTGCTTTAATCACTATGCCACCAGGGCTCCTTTTTATAATAACGAAAACCAAAAAACCAAACTCACCGCCATCAAGTCAATTCTGACTCATAGCGACCCCCACTGGGTTTCCAAGCCTGTAAATCTTGAGGAAGCAGACTGCCCCATCTTTCCTCGATGGAGCATCTGTTGGGTTTAAATCACTAACTTTTTGCTTCACAGCCAAATACCTCAGCCACTACACCACCAAAATGGCTTTTTGTAATACCAATCTGTTTAAATATTATTGTGAAATCTACGGGGCATGAGGTGATTGCCCCATAACACATCAGGTGGTTGGTATTTTATTAATAATATAACTAGTTTTGCCCTGTTGTTGTTGTTGTTATGTGCTGTTGAGTCGGCCCCGACTCATAGCGATCCCTCCTTGGGTTTCTGAGGCAGTATCACTATGGAAGTAGGATTGCCCAACCTTCCTTCCGAGGAGTGGCTGGTGGGTTTGAACCATCAACCTTCTGGTTAGCAGTCAAGTGCT